TATCATTGAACAAAGAAACTTGACCTCTAGATTCCATTTGATGTATCATTGAACAAGAGGTCAAGTTTCTAGATTCCATTTGATGTATCATTGAACAAGAGGTCAAGTTTCTAGATTCCATTTGATGTATCATTAAATCAAAGGCCTTAATATTTTAATTTATATTACTCTTAAGGTTTTTCTCTTTTATCACACTTATACACTTGACTCATTTCGCATTTGGCCTCGTAAAAATTAGTGTTTCGATCCCAGAGAACTCATTGTCCAGATACATGTACCTAAAAACAATCAAACATTTCGCATGTTATTAAAATATATTGTTTCTTTGTCTGTAGGTATGTGGCAGTGAGAATGTTGAAGTTAACGGCGGGTGTGTTTTAAGGTGTAAAAAATATCTGGTGTTTTCACTGGGAAAGAACGTGGTTAAAGTTTAACTTAAGAGAGGAATTAAAACACGTTTCACATGGTGAATTAAACTTTTTTTTAAAGGTTGGCGAGGAAATAAGTTCTGAACTTCGACTTCTGACAAGTCAACTAACCAAGGTTCTTAACAAAGGTAAGTGTTCGTTAATACAGATGTATCAAACAGTAAAACAGACAATGTGGGAATAGTTCAACAGTCTTCCGTTGTAAGTGTTCGTTAATACAGATGTATCAAACAGTAAAACACAGTGTGGGAATAGTGCAATGGTCTTTCGTTATAAGTGTTCGTTAATACAGATGTATCAAACAGTAAAACAGACAATGTGTGAATAGTTCAACACTCTTTCGTTGTAAATGTTCGTTAATACAGATGTATCAAACAGTAAAACACAGTGTGGGAATAGTGCAATAGTCTTCCGTTATAAGTGTTCGTTAATACAGATGTATCAAACAGTAAAACACAGTGTGGGAATAGTGCAATAGTCTTCCGTTATAAGTGTTCGTTAATACAGATGTATCAAACAGTAAAACACAGTGTTTGGATAGTTCCACACACTTTCGTTGTAAGTGTTCGTTAATACAGATGTATCAAACAGTAAAACAGACAATGTTTGAATAGTTCAACAGTCTTCCGTTGTAAGTGTTAGTTAATACAGATGTATCAAACAGTAAAACAGACAATGTGGGAATAGTTCAACAGTCTTCCGTTGTAAGTGTTCGTTAATACAGATGTATTAAACAGTAAAACACAATGTTTGAATAGTTCAACACTGTTCCGTTGTAAGTGTTCATTAATACAGATGTATCAAACAGTAAAACAGACAATGTGTGAATAGTTCAACAGTCTTCCGTTGTAAGTGTTCGTTAATACAGATGTATCAAACAGTAAAACAGACAGTATGTGAATAGTTCAACACTGTTCCGTGGTCTGTAAAAGTTGAGATTAGTTATGGGTAGGTTTATCATCATCATGGCCCGGTTCACACTTCTTTCTCAGTGAAGTGTGAAGATTGCGCTGTATGGTTGTTTTTACTGCACAAAGGACGCATACAGTCGCAGCCGTCTTTTCTCAACAAAGTGGTCGAAAAGGCTGCACAACTTACCAAAAAACACGCACGTCACAAGAGTGCAGATGACGTAATTCCCACCTGTCCCATGGTCGGAGATCAGACATGATATTGGAGTCTGAAGTATGAACCAAGGTCAAGATGGACGGTCGGGTTCACAGAAGATTCGGTTTCTGAAGCTTGAAGAAACTGGTTTAGGTTCTCATTCGTGTTATGTCTAGCTTTAATGAATGATAACACAAAGTGAATAGTACGTGACAGACAGATGCATCGTATTTAACTGAAATGTTGACGTTTTAATCATCCCCCCCCCGTGGCATAGCGGTATGTCTGCTAGAAACCGGATTTCTATACTCTCGTGGTAGACAGAGCACAGATAACCCATTGTGTAGCTTTGTGCTTAACTGCAAACAAAATTTAATCATTTTTAATTCTTTAAAATAAGTGAGGATAACTAGTTAGAGTGCCCGGACTGTGAATCTAGTGGTTCATGGTTTGTGTCTCGTTGCAAAAAAAAAAATACGCTCCGCATTTAGTGTCTCTTGTTACGGTAGAAGATGAAATCCCATAAGAGTAGCCCAAAATTTGGCGACAGGCATTGCTAATTGCCTTCCTTTAAGTCCATCAATTCAAAAATATGGATGGCTATGTGCAGATGGACCTTGTTGTGAAAATTCTGAAAAAAAAAATGTTTGTTCAAAAGAACACTTTGCCCTTGAATTTCGCGCAAAGCAACGCGAGGGCTATCTGGGCTACTTAAATCGAATAGTGAAATCTGACCGTCACTCTTATAACGCATCCACGGTCCCAAATTGCGCAGTACTTTTTTTTTTTGCCCGAAATATCTATTAACGTTTTTGTGTTTTGTTGTTGTTTTAACTTCTTGAGGAGATCTTCGAATGATCACTTTTATTGATTTCCAATTTTCATTGTTTGTCAATTTTTTTTTCGATTTATCCTAAAATACACCAACAAACTTGTCGTAATTATGCAGACACTGCGGAATCACAATAATTATTTTTTAACAATAATAGCCTGTGCTTTGCTCGAATTACTGTTGAAATTTTAAAACGAAATTGAGTTCATCTGCATTTTTGGGCATTAATTTATCATGGCGTACAAAAAAAAATGTGAATCCTTTTCAAAAATCAAACATAATTTTAAACGAGAGGGCCAAAACCATCTTAGACACATTATGTGTGAGAACTTTAATGGACCACAACTACCTGTTGAAATAAAAGGGAACTCCTTTGTTTAATGGACCACAACTACCTATTAAAATAAAAGGGAACTTCTTTGTTTAATGGACCACAACTGCCTGTTGAAAAAAAAGGGGAACTCCTTTGTTTAATGGACCACAACTGCCTGTTGAAAGAAAGGGGAACTCCTTTGTTTAATGGACCACAACTGCCTGTTGAAAGAAAGGGGAACTCCTTTGTTTAATGGACCACAACTGCCTGTTGAAAGAAAGGGGAACTCCTTTGTTTAGTTTTCTTTCAACAAAAAGTTGTAGTCCACTAAACTTCTACTCTGCCTATAATTCCTCTGAAACAACACTGTGGATATAAACCAAGAAAAACCATATATAGTCCAGAGTCCAGAGTAGAGCCGGTAAGAATATATCTTAGAACGGAAAGATGTAGGATCCACAGAGAAGTGGAAATACACCCGGGGAGAAGCTGTGGTATTGTGTTCTCAAGAAATGAGTGCACACGTGACCTTTCCTATTTAAATAACTTTGTTTATTTTGAGTCAACGAACGCCATCATTTTGAAATTATTTCTACTTAACAGGTTGTTTTTATATCGTATTTAACCTCCATACAGTGTGAATGTCTGATCGATATGATTTTCATAAAAAACTTAACGCGTTCTTTTTGCAGGACAACGAGCTGTTTTGAAGTCTTTTTCAGTTCGTGAACTTCTACCCGATACCCATTTTTATACAACATATGAAGGTTCATTAACAATGCCAGGATGTCACGAGACTGTCACGTGGCTTGTGATGAACAAACCAATTTATATAACAATACAACAGGTACGTCACGGTCTTTGTAACGGTATTATTTAATTTCTGTAGTGCATACTGGTAAGATTTAAACATTTCGACAATAGACCTTTACTTTCCACATAACGAGAAAAATCTTTGTATTTCGGCCAAAGTTTTTCTTTCATTATTATCTTAACTGTAAAGGTTGTTCTTCTCTAACTTTGTTATAAAAATGTCTACATTCCCCTAGAAGTCACTACAAATTCTCAAAAACTTGAATTTTTATATAATGTCCGATTCGACAGGTGTTTATATCCAATTTACTTTTAATCTTTATAGTTCAAGTATTGCGTTCTCCGACTTATGGACCTAACAGTTTGTATATATGTATATATATATATATATATATATAAATGTGTGTGTGTGACTAGTTTAAATCACGTGCTGAAGTTGGCTTTAAATCCTTGTAAATATAAAATTCAACTCAATAAATATGACGACTATGCTGTCTTAACATGAATAAGGAAGTTAATAGTACGAGACAAATGCTACGTGCTATGTCAAACATGATAACACAGTCCAACAGTGACCTCTGAAAGTTGTTTAATCGATACCATTTCTTTGATGATTCAGATCTGAATGCCCCCCCCCCCCAGTGGCACAGCTGTATGTCTGCTTACAACGCTAGAAACCGGGTTTTGATACTCGTGGTGGGCAGAGCACAGATAGCCCATTATGTATCTTTGTGCTTAACTACA